CCCCCCCCCCCCTTGAGGGCTGTGTGGAATAAGTGTGGTTTTTGTGCTGCCCACATAGCCCCACAGTTCATCCACAGCTACCCACTGTGGGCCCACACGTGAGTAGTAATTTCAGAAATCTCTTTGTTCACTTATCTCAATGACCGTTCATATAATCCTCTTCAATTTGGAAAATTTGTTGCTGGGGACTCTAGTGCCAAAGTTGATGAAGTTTGTATGAGCAGTTTTCAGACTTTGGCTACAGGGTGGGTTGTTTTTAATCAGTGTTTCCCATAGAGAGGCTATTCCCTACTCTGTATTTAGGGGGAGTGGCAAAATACATGTACATGTGTTTGTTTGGTTAACCCAATCCTTCTTCTAACTTTAACACTAAAACCAAATCTTCAACCATCAAACGGTTGAATCAAAGACTGAAGGAATGTAAAAAACAAAAAAAAGATGAAACCACAAAGTTCTAACTTTTATCAAATGTCTAAAATGCTATAAAATTTTGCTAACTGATGTCACACAAGTACCCTAGTTTACACTACCTTAAATGGAAACTACACTTGTCAATTGTCTGTATACTCATTTTGTAATATTATATCCTAAATAACCAGGAAAAACTGAAAGTTTACATTAAACTTCTTAATTCTTATTATATAGAATTTGTTAGCAGTAGATATCATACAAAATATGATTATATTAAGTTCTTCTGCTTCATTATAAATGTGTTTGTTTGGGTTTTTTTATCACGTGCATTTAAACATTTAAACAATTCCTAATGTGCTTTTAAACTGAGTTTCCAGCACTTTGCATGTAATCATTAGTTATTATTAATCTCTGCTTCTCTTCTGTCCTCTGTTGCTCCCATTACCTACAGCTGGTTGTAGCAGATGGCTGCTCTGCTCTGAGCCTGGTTCTGTAGAGGTTTCTTCCTGTTACAAGGGAGTTTTTCTGTCCCACTACCATCAACTGCTGCTCACAGGCGGTGATCTCATTGTTGGGGTTTCCTTTGTATTATTGCAGGGGTCTATATCTTACAATATAAGGCACCTTGAGGCAACTGCTGTTGTGATTTGGTGGTATATAAATAAAGTTTAATCAAATCAAAAATAATAATAGATTTTAGGAATGTGAACTGTTTTTGCCATTCACTATTCACCGACTTGGAAAAGCAGCAGCATTGCAATTTTATGCCCCATACGAGACACAATTAAAGTCAATGCTCTTGCTAAGTACTGCAAAAAACACCCAGAATTACTTACAGTATTAAATACTTCATTATATTAGAGAATCATCAGTGCTTTATAATTATGAAGGGTTAATGTAAAACTATTGCCAAACAAACTCCACACACAGAAATGCTTGTGTTTTACACCAGTAATAATTAAAGCCATAAAAAAAATGCATTAATGTTATAGTGACACAAAATTTGAGGACCCCCTGAAGAGTCAACAGCTATAAACATCATAAAGCCGACCACTATAACCTGCTGCAAACACGTCTGCTTTGAATGGGAGTGTTAGTACCACCATTACCTCACTTATACTTGGAAGGTGAAAAGCATCTGTCCTGCTGTGTTGCATTACAGGCCGAGCAAACCTGCTATGAATACTAATCACTGAGAGGAAATGATTGTGTTTAGTAGGGAAAGATGATTGAGCATGCTAGAGAAGCACGAAAGCAAAGAGAGCTCGACATTTGCCGTGATCTCTAAAAACCTGTTTCAATATCTGTGGAAATGAAGAAGTGTCTCCCAAAGCAATAAGAACCAGCCCACACTCCGTCTTATGATATTATTAAGTGATATTCCCGAGGCATGATGCCCCATTTAAATTGAATAGAGGGATACTGTTTAAGTAATAATAATGGTTTTCTAGGATAGTCAAGAGCTTGTGTTATACTGTACCTTGGTGTGTGTGCGTGTGTATGTTTATGTGAATAAATTCTGGCTCAAAAACAGTTTGAAAATTTGTATTGTCCTCTTGACAACTTCAAAGGGCCGTTTAGGGAATTTTTTTCCCCCCCGAGTGTCCTCATACAGACAGGAAGTGTCGTTATGGAAGTTAAAGTTTTCTTCATGCACAAATGAAGTTTAAAATACAGATATATTTATATTAAAAAAAAATCACCTCAGCCCAAGACTAATTTAAACATGGGACTCTATGGGAACTGACCATAGACCATACATAAAAAATGAATCTAATGATGTCCCTTGGTTAGTCCCTTTGAGAGCACTAAACTGGATTCACAAAGTCGTCATCTTGGTATTTTCAAATGGGACCCGAGGAAACAGCAACTTGTTAATTATTAGGTAGGCTTGCGCTCATCAGGAAAATGTTTATTGTTGTCATAGAGCAAGAAAGCCAAGGGCCATTTTCACAGACTTCTATTGAGGTTTTGCAGACATCTGACCAATAACCACATGACATGAGCTTCTCTGCCATTTTGAATATGTGACATTTATTGCATGACAATGTATTTTCAAGTGAGTAAGGCCTCTGTCACACACGCCTGTCCGTGACCATCAGGCTACCACCTGTCGTGACGGAAAAATGGAGTATTCCCTAATCGTTTGTGAGAGGTTGCTGGAAGCTGGTACAGTGACGGGGGAAAATGATTTGTGACGCTCCACCTGTGGCCTGTTTGTGTGGCAGGTCTCATCTGCAGCCACTGGAGAGGTGGTGAGGCTTGTTTTCAACACCTGGCTCAGTGTGCCAGCGCTCCATAAAAGCCCTCAGAGGTCAGTTTTGCACTAAACATCTTTCTTTCACTTAAAACAAGTAGCCTTTTAGTTCTTTGTTTTTATCACATCCATGCAATCTGGTTTCTGTCATATTGGTCCCAGTCACACAGGCCTACAGACCAATCAGTGATCCCCTGGGAAAAACCTTTCACTAGAAAGAAAATGTGCATTTCTCAACCAGTTGATAAAAAAAATCCTTGTGAAATTTCGCCAGACAACTTTTTTTGTGGGCCATTTGTAGTGTTTGTTGCACTTTTTCAAGTTTCATTATCACTGGGCTACTACTTGCATAATATTTGCATGAAACATGAAAAACTCCAGGCAACCATAGGAATCTACTAGCAACCAAAGCAATCACTTGAAGCTTTTGGTGCAGCACCTTCTCTGCAACCTCCAGAAACCACTGCCAACCGGTCAGGCAATGCAAATTTTCCCTAGCAACCGGTGGTTGCATCACATCCAAATATGATGGACAGTTGATGCCATATGAGGAAAATAAATACAACTTATTTTTGAAACAGACGACCCCCCCCCTCCCCCTCCCACCTGGCAGTCATCAAAAGGGATGCAGGTTTGAGGCTTTAATTTTCAGACCCTAAAGCTATGTCAATCTTTTTGGATCAAACCTCAAGTGGCCATCTGACAAATGCAGTTTTTGGCAGTCAGAACTAAGTCCAAAGATGAACACACCCGCTACTGCAGCCATGACCTACCTTCCACAGAGACTTTTTTTAGACCTCCTACTTCTACAGTATGTCTACCCTCCCCTGAATATAAAGGGAACACAGCGATTTTCTGTATCAACAATAAGCCAGGTTGTCCTTGAAGCTTCTGTAGATGAAGAACAGAAGACAGTCACGTAATTACGCTTCAAAAAGGCTCCACCGAGCCCAAGCCTTCCAGGTTTATGAGTTCACACTTCCAAAGATCCATCACACGCAAGTACTTACATTACAGGTTCCACATTGAAGAGCCAACTGCAGTTGCCAATGCCACAATACATTTACGGAGATGCAAGCGCACATTGTTGGGCACAAAGAGAAAGAACACATGCAGACACCCTCACAAACATACATACCAATTACAGACACAAAACAATAAGGAGAGAAAGAATGAGAAGGATAGAGAGCCTAATTGCTATAATTATAATCACCCACTCAATGAGTACAAAAGCTGCAATAACAATTATAAGTTGTTTAATGCAGATTCTGGTAAGAACTTCACTACAAACCATTTTGCAGGGGATAAAGTTTCCAGATTAGTTCCTTTAGGTGTTATCCAGTTACTGCATATGTTTGGGGAATAAACACAGCTGCGATTTTCAAAAGACCACACAAAAAACAAAGTCTGCGACTGAGTTTGGACTTCAAAACAGGACGGAGTCGTCATGAGTAAATGCTGCAGTTATTATATGTGGTGCATAATGAGATAAAAACTATTGTGTCTGCCTCAAACCAGTGCGCCCTCATTTGAATGGTAGCAGCTGGTCTGAGAGGCAGAGAAAGAACAAGGACATGGCTTTGACCTGGTTTGAATGGGAGAGCGCTAATTAGAACGGTGATTACTGGTTGTTAGCGCCGCACAGGGGACAAGACTGAAATGATGTGCGAGGGCTGCAGCCAGGGAGTTAACACAGCAAGGGAGAAAGCAGTAGATGAACAGCGGGAGAAAGAAACTGAACGGAAAAGAGAAGAAACAGAAAATAGCATTCAGTGAATGCAAAAAAAAAAAAAGACAAAAACAAAAACAGCCAAGTGAGGCAAAGCTGACGCCAGGAAATAAAAAAAGAAAAGATAAGGAGGGCGAGTGGAAGAGGCAGAAAATAATAAGAGGAGATCAAACATTTGCGTTGCCTAAAATCAGGAACAACCACTGCGACAGAAGAGGAGTTGTAAGAAGAAAAAAGGAGGTACAGACACCCCCCACCCCCACAATGAGCTGAAGTGCTATTGTGGTTTTGGTAATCACCCAACCATCGATGTGAAAGAAAACCTCCACTATCTGAGCACAGAGGAAACACACGGATAAGAGAGAACACGGCTAATCACTTATTATCAGAGAGAAACAACTTTATTTGTGGTCATAGTAAAATATCTGTCTGAACAAGCTATTCCTTTGCTTGTGTGGTTGAAGTGTTTTGCTGTGTATTATCTGAATTTGTAAGAGTTTCAAAGGCCCTCAGTCGATGAAATTCTCTCAGGAGAAATGGTGAAAAATCAAGGTGTGTGGTAAGTGGGGTAGGGCGGTGGTGGTGGTCTAGCCTGGATTAAGGTTTTGGATGGTCTCACGGTGCTCTCGGTACAGAGAATGGAAGGCCCGAGCTAAACAGAGGAGAGGAGCATCACAGTTCTCCATCTCTTTCTGTAAAAGACAAACATGAACAGACAGAAAAGCAGGTATAAAAAGATATAAAGAATGGGATATTTTCCTGCATAGTTCATCCTTCAGATGTAGGAACTGTTAAAGTCTGCCATGAACGCTGTGTCGATGTGCGCGATAAGCTCACTCACAGCTGAGGTCTCGTGGTACTCCAGACCCTGACTCTGGGCCCATTCCTTGGCCACAGATGCCTGTACCTCTCTTCTAGCAGACAGATCTGACTTGTTGCCCACCAGGACACCTGGAACACACGCAAACACAAAGATGCACTTAGAGATGCACATAAACACAGATTCAAGACTTATTCCAGAAGTGTTGTTGTTTGTTCAGTTAATGCTTGGAAACTTGTTTTTAAAGATTTGTAGTTAAATGTGTCTTTTTTTTGGTGGGTTGCAAAGTGGCAACAAAGGGGTGCAGCAACAGGAATGCTAAAGCTGCATAAATAGCTCACCTTACATGACACTAACAGGCTAGATGGGTATCAGCTGCGCTATCGTCTAATCTGGAAATTCAAAAAGTTCAAAAAATTCAAAAATGTGAAATTTATTTGTAAAATAAGTATGAATTCTTCTTTTATGGCATCAGACTAAGTGATGCACTTTGAGATGTTTGTAAAGATTTTGGGTCTTTATTTAACTATTGACAAGTTAAAGTAACGGAACAGTTTATCTGGTTCTTACAAATTTGTTAATTATTGAAATAAATTCACATCAACGGCAAGTGCTGACATATTCCACTGTCATTATTCCTTATTTATTCAAAAAAAAAAATGCAGAACCAATGTCTGAAAAGCTAAGTACACCTCATGATTCAATAGTAAAAACAGCAATAACTTATTCAACAAATTGAGAGTTCCATTTTTCTCCAAACACTGTGCACTATGAGCAAACACATCCCCTTTGGTTTCATCTGTCTAAAAGATTTTGTTACATAAGTCTTGTGGTTTGTGAGTTAATGTTTCAAAACATTTTTCAGAGATGTTGGGAGATGGTGGGTTGCAAAGTGGGTTACATGTGTAAGTTGGCTCAGCTGATACCCTTCTACGCATACAACTGGCTATCTTATGTAACACATGCTGTTTATGCAGCTTTAGCCTTCCTGTTGCTGCACATCTGTAAGCCACTTTGGCAGCCACCTCAATTTGACATACTCATTTTATCTTGGAGCTGAGAGGGTCTCAGAGCAGAAACTTGTGACCATATTAAAATTACCGCAGCTGGTAATATCAGTCTTCTTCTGACCACAGTGGTCTTGATTGATTTCCCTCCCTTTTATTTTCCGTTTCCCAGTATTTCATGTTCTGTGAGGTGTTACCTGGAACATGGAGACCCTGGCAATGAGCACGGACTCGTTCCAGCCAGCGGCTGCAGTTAGCAAAAGACTGCTCACTGGTCAGGTCGAAAACCAGGCACAGCAGCGAAGGTTCCCCCCACTACAGAAAGGAACCAGTGGTGATGAGGTGGGAAATGTTGGTTTTTATATACAAGGAATGAGGGAAGTGGGACAGACATATGACTGGTCCCACATCAGCTTACTTTTCTCTACTCGTGTAGCAAATCAAATAATACTCTACTATGACAGGAGGTGAAGCTCCAGATGATGAATTTATCTAGTATCATGCAGATTAAAAAAAAATCCAGGGAACGAGTCTCACCATCTTCTCACAGGAATCCACTAATGTCTCCTTCCCTGCAGAGTCTATGATGTAGAGCTCCTGGTGGGCAAAAGCAGAGAAAGGGGGAGACGGACGAGTGTTATTCACGGGAAGTTAACCAAATTATTTCACATTTTCTTTTATAAGGACATTAATCTTAGACCTACAATACTGCCAAATAGCATACTGAATTCAGATGAAGAAATAACAATATTATATGTCTGGGAAAGCTTCTTCCACACTGAGTGATGGATTCCAGCTGTCAGCATTTTAAAAACAGACTGGCGGCTGCCAGTGCTTCCCCTCAGCCTCCGAGTCGACACAACTATCAATTTCAAAATCCTACACGGCCTTGTTCTCTAGTTACTGCATTCACAAACTTAAGTGTCCATGCAGCCCACTTGGCGGGGTGACGACAATACTCCATCAGCCTTTTACAACCATGGCTGAGAGATGAACTTTAAGCTGTGGTTGGGTGGCTAATATCTGTTGCTTCATTCAACAAAATGTAGCCTGCAATGGATTCTAGGCACATGGTTGCACTCACCACGCTGTCATTGGTCGCTGGGATGTTGATACACTTCATCAGCAGCTCCACGCCTGTTGTCTGCCAAACAAAAAAAGGCTACAAATGTTAAATTAGTTATGTGACGTAAAGCTAAAATAAATCTCTTCATGATGGATCTGGCATGCCTTTGTCATAAACAATCATTCTTTCTGTCACATTATGGGCGTGCCTGTCAAAATGCATTTACAATCGGCAACAGCTGAAGAGAAGAGAAGAGAAGAGAAGAGAAGAGAAGAGAAGTTTGTTGTCAGGGAGTTACCACTGTTTAGTCTGATGTATGGCAAATGTCAATACATTCTTGCTCCCTACTTTGTGCTGTTATTTAGAGGTAAGCAAGTATTTTACAAAGGACTTTTAGAACAATTTCACTAAAAACAGCTGCAACAGAAACCAAAACTGACATGACAGTAAACCGAAGCAAAAACAACTTGGCCATTAACTCAAAACGGGAGTCAACAGAGGCCATTAAAAAAAAAATAGGTATAACTGTAAATTTTTCTTTTTTAGAGTTATATCTACTGTGAAAGAGAAAAAAAACTGACTGTTTATGTGAAAGAAACACAGAAACAGTCCGTGTGAGTTTTTCTCTTTTGTCAAAACAAATAGCTGGTATAGCTGTTTACTAAAAT